CGACCGCGACCTTAGCTATATATATACGATTATTTGTTACCCTATATAAACTGTAGGCCCTATTAGGTTGGCCTATTTAGGCTAATGGTTACTTAGTTTAACGTTTTATTATTTTGAATTTGATAATAGTTATCCCTAATTTATCGTCTTATTCTATATACTATAATATCGGTAAGGACGCTATAGCTATACTATAGTCGCTGTGTCTTAATGCCGCTTATGGCGAATATTCTACTAAGCTAGAAACGAAATATATTACGAGATACGCTCTATAATAGATTATGCCTTATAGTTAAGAGCGGTTACTAAATAAGGTACTAAGCCTAGTTATTAGGGACCGGGTAGGCTAGCTTGTCTTCTAGTATTAGATTAGGCCCTAGTGTTAGAGAAGCTGTCTATTATTATCTATAATTTTCGCCCTTAAGTACGAGGAACGAAGGACTCTATCTTATTAATACGAATAGCCTCTCTAAATAGAAAGCGATACCGAGATAAATATCTACCCGATAATAGTAGCGATAACCCTAATAACTCTAACGATACGGACTATAGGCGTAAGAGTAGTAGTAAAAATATATACGGAAATAGTCTTCTTCCTATCGACTAAAAAGAGTAAGGCGACCTATGGTATAGCTTAAGCCTAAATCTCCCTAATATAATACTAAACGTACCTCGGTCGACGAGGCGGTTCGATCTAAAGTGGTTACAGATCGGACTTCCCTAATAAGTTTGTATAATATCGAAACGATTCCTATCCGTGGTTTCTTTACGCGGGAGATACTTTTGTTAAGGGTTATCTATTTAGTTATCTTTAAAGAGTAGGTAGAGTATTCCTACTAGTAGAGATTAGGCAAAGCTATATTATATTATAAAAATAAAATTAGTAGCTAGAATTATAAGTAACCCCGCTAGAAAGGATCTTACTCTAGGAAAGCGACTAGGCTAACCGGAATCCTATTTAAGGACGACTAGCTTTTGATTAAATTAAAGGAAGAGCGGAGATTGCTATAGAAGCGAATTATAAATTATTTTCCTAGAAGGTCGGAAGGCTCCCTCTAGATACGCTATTATATACGCCTAAAGGGCCGTAAGGCTACAACTTCTTATTATTCTAGATAGATTTTCTATGCGAGCAGCCATTCTTTATATAGAGGCGTACCTAGCGAGGTAGTTTAAGCCGCGGGTAGTAAGAGTAAAGGCACTAAAGTAGATATATTAAGATAACGATACGGTCTACCTCGCTATAGGCAAACGGTAGACCGCTATTCCCTGGTTTAAGTTAGTAAGAATTATTAGTCTTTATTAAATATTAGTTAAATATATTGCTAAGTACTAGGTCTTATTCTTAGATACTTCTCGCGCCTATCTCTCCTCCTTAAGCTAACGCCGTAGCTTAGCGATTGTTTCTTCTATGCCTTATCGAAAGCAGTTTTATTAGATAATCGATTAAAATAAAGTCGAGGTGAATATAGTAAGGAGCCTATAGTCTAAGATAGGGGAATAAAGGGGATTACGTACTAGGATATAGCTTACTTAACCTACTTACCCCGTGACTTATTTTAATACCTAAGGTATTAACCCGTTTAATCTTTTAGGCAAACTTTTAGGATAGATATAACGCGTCGACTCTACGTTTACGCGATACCTAAATTAGTCTCGTTAGTACTTAAAGACTTAGCCCCTCTCTAAATTATTTAATAAGTATAATTATAGTATGGAGGATCATTGTCTTAGGTTCTTTACTTACTTATAAAGCCCGTCTCCCTTAATCTAATCAAACTGCCTATTATATAAGGTATATTATGTAATCTTCCTATAAATATAGCGTATATAAAGCTAGTAGTTAGCTAATATCCTCTTTTTATATATAAATAGTATGGGATTACCTATATTAACTCTATATATCTTATTATCTCTATATACGTCTAAGGTATTAGGAACTTCCTACAGTTACTAGTAACTCCTTGTGGAAGGTAAAGCGATATACCTATACTATCTTCGTAATTATATCTCTTATTAGATAATAGGCCTTATAGATAGAAATTTGGCTAGAGACGCCTAGTAAGGTATTTATAGAAGAAGGGGTTTGTTTAATACCGATTATCTCTAATTAAGGTTAATAGGAGGGTAGATAGGCACGATTAACTATCCGTAGGAAAAATAGGAAATCCTAATATAAGAGTCGCCCCTATTAAAAATCAAATTTTCTACTATATACCGGCCGATATCTTTATAACGCTAATAAAGTACAGCGTAAGGTAGATTTTGAACGGAAGCCTATTTTACCTCGATCGGTTATACTAGCTCCTATTATCCTCCTACGTTAAGCTTATAAAGTTAAGCTAACAAGCTTGCTAATATACGCTATAAAATTTTATCGATATAAAGACTATTATATCTCAAAGGGATTATAGACAATATTTTGCTTATTTAGGTCTAGTAGCACTTTTAGCGAGAATAAGAGATACGCTAATTATATTTGGATACCTAGTTCTCTAGCTTATACTATATCTACTTTATTCTTTACTATATAGACGCGCTCGAAATCAGTTTTATCTCTTTACTCTCTATAATTCTATTTTAAACTCTAATTTGTATTAGCTTTGTCTTTTTTGGTTAGTCTCTCCCTAATTTATATTCTTAGTAGTATCGCGTTACGGTAATAAATAATGTTATTAAAATAGCTATCGTATTATAGGCGTATAAGCGATTCCCTATCCGGAGTACTTTACCCGTAAAATAGTATATTTATCTAGCTACCTCTTATTTCCCCTTTAGTCGTCTATATTCCTTCTATTATAAAAAGCTGCGGATCCTAAAAAAAGTGGTAATTGGTCTAAAAAGCTATACGTTAGTTTCGACGTTATAATAACGGAAAAATTTCGTAGTTTCTACTCGTATACTTAAGGCTAGTTATTACGATCGGGTTATCGGGCTCGGGTTAACTTAGTCTAGAAAGTCGCTAATCCCGCTAGGCTATTAAGGATTTTGCTATTTATTTCCGCCTTCTCCGATATATAAGGCGGCGATATTTCTCTAACTAGACTCTGTTCTACTATCCTCCTATTATTTATAACGTAACTTACTATATAATACGATAGTTTTAATATAGAAAGACTAGATCCGACAAAATATATATACGGTAGACGTAGCGAGTTAATAATTAAAGGATTATCGAGATTATTATACCGTCGTAATCCGGTAATGTTTTTGTTATTTATTCTAGAGCAAAAATGCTTTTATATCACCGGTTTTCTTGATATAGACGGATTAGAATGCGATAAAATGCTTATATAAATAGAATCCTAATATCGCTATTAGAGATTCCGCGAAAAAACCGACTAGGATATTATAATTATTAAGCTTATTAGATCTATATTTACGTAGATTAACCCTACTTAGTTGAATCCTACTTAGCTCAGCGCTTCTAGAAGTATACGTTATACTAGGTAACGTCAGCGTAATATTACTTAAGACATCGATCAATATGATTATAACTTTCGACAGAAGCTTGCCTCTTAAAGAACCGTAGATTCTATCCGATCTAAAATACAGCGAATCTAATCGAATTTAACTATCTAGCGGACCCTACCACAGCCTACTCTAAACTAGAGCGATAGCTATTATCTTATAGCCTCTACTTTACTGTTTTTTAAATTCTTCGTTATCGAGAATATAGTAGTATAAGTTTTCGAGCAGCCCTCTATTAGTTTTCGTGATATCCTATTTAATATTATTAGGATCGGTCGTATATAGATACTAAAGATATGCTTAGTTCCGCGTTTTCGGTTGTATTCGGGCTGTAGACTATTTAGTCACGCTCTATTAAGGTTATACCTTCTACTTATTAACTATAATATTCCCGACGTTGCCGTGTACTACGCCTAGCTGGATATCAAAGTTATACGTTTAGGAAGTGGTGGTTGTTATAATTGTAGCCCGGTAGCTTTAAACGGGGCGGTAAGCCTACGGTTGAATCTCCTATTTTCTAGTATACCATTTTATTAGGTAATATATTTAGACGAAGGAGGAAGCAATTGTCGTGATCTCAGAACCTATAATTGTCTAACGAGCTATAGTTTTATTTCAGTTACCTTAGCTAGCACTAGATGCACTAATATAGTTCTATGATGTATTTCCTTAGCTCCTAGGAAACGAAACGCTCTGATCATAGTGATGAGCCTTAAGGTCAACCTTCAACAGTGTAGCTATGAATCGTATCCTGTTTCTAGAAATTTACAGCCCATAAATACTGTAATTTATTGTTACGAAACATTTCGAGATCCCGTAACAAGCTAAGTCGAGGATGGACTAGCGTGTTTTAGATTAGAGCTCAAGAAAGAAGAGAAGAGAGTGTAGGTATAGTTGTGAGGATCTCACGTATACGTAGATGAATAGTCAATATTAAAGAAAGCTAAAGTCGACTCTAGATATAGTACGTCCCGAAACTGGTGCAACTACCTACACTCTTTCGTGTCTTTTTCTCCAAGATACACTAGTCTGTATTGGGACTCCTTCCGGAGTCCCTTTAAGCTCGGTGTGTATTGTTCCGTTCGTAAAATACAATGGAATTTCAGAAATGTCTTCGCTTGTAAGCGTTGTCCTTCGGGAACAATCACGAGTGGTTCAACCAAATATGGCTCCAAACCTAGCTTCTTCCAAGAATGAGCTTATTTATGACATGGTCGGAAGTGGCGAATTATCTCCCAGAGTGCATTTTGGAGCATTCCTCCAGGCGTTAGGAATGTATGTTGAGGCTGGCTAGGTTATTTGCTGTCTTGGGAATGAGGCGCGCTCTTGGAATTCTCAAATCGTTAATGACAGATAAACGCAAGGTATCAAAATGATACGTTAAGATGGTAGCGTAACGTCCATGCATTCCTAATATCAAATGAATCAAATCTTGCTCTGGATGAGTATGCTTAAATACCGATGACAACCCGACCCCCATAAGGATCATAGTACGAGCCAAGTTTATTTTCTCACGCTTATCGTCAAACATGAAGCAATTCGATGGCAAGACTGACATGTTCTACCGTGAACAGACACTAGGTGTGAATACTATCTCATTTTGGGGATAACCATGTATTAACCAAAGATTTAGCAAATCTTCGCTTCTTGTTCGACAGCACGGTCGACATCTTGACCTGCGCTGGCGATCATGGCTGCGTGATCGCATTTGTATGCCAAACCCGGTGTGATGGGGAGCGGGTCAAGACCATGCAAACATACGCAGGGAATGTGTCCAAGGCACTGAAGGCGTTACATGACATGTCATGCACGCGTCTTAGGGAGTTTTCCACTGATTGCGGCCATGAGTTACATCGTGAGCACTTAGAACAGTGCCACATAGCTATGCCTACGCAACCACAACTTCCACTAGGGTCAAACAATCTTGCGCTATCGGAAGATAGCAATGTGTTGATTGACATGCCTGTCCCAGAGGAAGAGCCCGAGCAAGGGGAACCCGAAATTCATGAAGCGGAGCATGGCCAAGAAGGTATGAATAAACCAAACTTGCAGGATTTGACAATAATGAAAACGGTATTAATATGGACATAAGAATCAACCAATATTGCCATACCTCAAGAACGGAGTGGTAATCTGACAGACACCGCTCTAGAGGTTTCTCAAGATAACTTCACTCCTTCGACTTCAGTTTCTTCACACGCGCGTGTGAGGGGATTTTCAATACTCTTGGATATTCAATATCCGTTCAAGAGGCCTATGGGTGCTCTGAGATATATAGAAAGCCCAAGCCGTCAGAATATTCTACAGATTGTGGCGCAGATTTTGTCTACAAGTGAGATCCCGGATGACCCAATCTTGCCCATGAAATCTCTGAGTGTTCGGAAAGGGAACACTGTATATGATGTCCTAGGTTACCCACAGGATGACATTGGCAGCTTACTGGACGATGTTCTTGAGTCCGAAAAGCTTATCAAGATTGAATGTGTTCATTAGTATATACAATCTACGCATCTGTTTTGAATTGCAGAAGGTGGTATGGCAGGGCGAAGTGAGAGCTTGCCAGGTTCTTGTATCCAGCTCTGGTGTTGTGTTTGATCTGTATGCATTCCTATGGAAAATTCTAATACAGTTACGAGACAAGGCACCGTATATATTAATAGTAAATCGTGGTATTGAGATTGTTTCAGGAAAATTGATATTCCGTGACTATCTCTAATTTGATATAGCGTATCTTGGCAGTGGGACGAGAGAATCACTCAAAGAGTGTAGGCGGTTGCACCAGTTTCGGGACGTACTGTACAAGACGTAGCGCGAGGAAGCAAAAGGAACAGGCTTCCTCGCGTTCAGGGGAACCCATATGCACCATGTGGGTCCCGCAGATCATTTCTCCAAACATCCTATATACTTTATGTATATCCCTGACAATAGTTCCTGGAGGAAATTAAGCTCCTAGAGGCCGTAAGCATGATCCTAGGAGCGGTGATTAAATATAGCTCCCTAACTCAGCATATCGTAGGTTAATAAAAAAACAGCTAGCTAGGTTTAGATTAGAATAAGACAGGCAAATGTATTTAAGTACGGCGGCGTTAAAGAAATGAGAAGCCGCTTATTTTCGATGGCGTTGGGGGCCGATCTAACGTGTTTAGGCTCTCGTTATAGTAGAGTGAGGAAACGGATGCCCTTTAAGAAATGTTATTGTGGAAATCGGGTAGATTGGTTGATCCTAGACGTATATTAACTATTACACACGACAAACTCGATAAACGTTGAGTAAATAGGAAGTCAACAGTTCTTAACGGCAGTGTTAGTTCTTACAGTCCTTGCCCTTTATGTGTATGTCAAACGTGAAGGAAGTTACTGGGTGAGTGTTTTACTTGTTCGAGGAAATTATATTGTTTAATTAATTAATTAAATTGAATAAGACTTAGTAGAAAAGGAAGGATGGTGTTTATTAGATATTATTAGCTTATTTGTCCCTACTTGCTCTAATATCCGTGTATTGTCTAATACCCCGCTACCCTTATATCTACTAGTGAACTATATAAAAGAACGAGGATAGTAAGTTTAAGTTCTCCGGTCTCGCCCGGGAGCTCGGAATAGAGCGGAGGTTGTCTTTATAATTAGGCTAAACTAATTTCGGGTTAGAGACCTAGGGGTATAAGAGTAATAGGAAAATGTACGGGCCTTATGTCTAGGTGGAGAGGGTAATATTATTTAACTAATCTTATTTAATTAATCTAATTTCTTTTTAGAGGGGCTAGTGTATAAACAACCTTCTTATTACTCTTAACAGCCCTTATTTTAAACACTTGAATTTTAATTGCTATAGTATCACTACCTCTGTTTTCTACCTCTGTTTTTCTACTAGTATTTGTTAAACTTATAATTAGGCAGGCCTTTATATATTATAGACCAGTTCATTTAATCTAATTAAGAGACTATTATTAATTAATTGAGAATTAACGGTAGGCCGTAGTAGTAGTCGTTCAACTACCTCGGCCCTTATAAATGAGGTATAGTGTTAAAGCGAAGCTATACTAAGATTATAAGTCTATAGGCGCAACTACTATATATACCGTAAGTAACTAACTATAGAGTCTAATGCTTAGTTTCGGTTCGGCCGAATTATTACCCGGTAGCACATACTCCCTAGGATATTCTCCACAACAGCACTCGGAACTCCCGATTTTTGCGATCCACCTTATTTCTAACCGAAACCGACGACGATTATTATATAGCTCGAGACGACTTCTAGAACTAAGGCTAATAGAGAACGCTAGATACTTTAGCTTTTTAGTATTTATAATCACTACCTACAAGAAGGACGCTAGTCGGGACCCGATTATACATTAGCTCCTCTAACCTATTATTACTCTCCTATTTTTATTTTCAAGCGGTATTTCGTACGTGACTTCCCCGTCAATCGCTCCTTAAAAGAGACTCCCTTAAGAGTAGTAGTACGACTATCTATAGAATTACTAGTTATAGTAATTATATTATATAGCTTTCTCGGTCTTTATTATAAAGATAGGATTAGGTAATCGTCGGATTATATCTATCGTAGGAAAGACCACGGTTTCAGTATACTTAGATATTCCTACGAATAAATCGATCGCCGGATTATATCTATCGTAGGAAAGACTATAGTTTTAGCGTACTTAGATATTCCCGCGAATAAATCTTAAGCGAGTAAAATAATTAGTATATTCCCTAATTGAGCCTATTTATAGGGCTAATTCGCGCTACCGATAAATTAATCTAATAGAATAACTAGATATAAATCTACGAATTAGATTATATAGCCGATTTATAGTAGCTATTTTTAGAATAGAGTACTTATTAGATTCGATCTTATCTTAGATAGGCTTCGGCGTCTCTAAACGCGTTAGTAATATTAATAACCGGTCGGTTTATATAGGGATTATAAACTCCTTTAAAGATATAAACCGGTCTCCCCTTCCTCGGGCGTAAGAATCTAAGGATTAACGGTAAAGGTTCCTTATTAATGCCTAATCACGAAATTGCTTTAAGTCGATTTTTTAAAGAGTACGGTGTAATCCCGGTTCCCGCCTATATTTCTTTTTAGTTCTTTTTTATTTTTATAGTATTATTCTAACGAAAAGGTCGACCTTAGGGCGGCAATAACGCGGGAGCCTTTAAGTTATAGAATAAAACGAATTATACGAGTGGGTAAGATATTTATAGACGGAGTCTCTAGTCAAACTTCTAGTTACTTTAAGGAATAACCTAGCGTACTATATTAGAAGTTACTCTGGAAATTAGCTATACGTGGTACCCGTTAACCTATTAAAAAGGGGCGGGAACTTAGGGCAGTTAAACGGGTTTATTCTACGAGCTACGTAATATAGAAATATTAAGTAAAATACTATTTCTTTTTACTGTTATTTTTCTGCTATTAATTTAGGTAGGTATAGGGGGTAATTTATGGCCTATAAGTCTAGTTGCGCGTTTATTATATCTAAAAGATCTATTATAAAATATAGATATTTAAGTAACTAAAACACCGGTATAGTGGTTATTTAAATATATTTTAGTACTCCTATAACGCTATCTAAGCTAGTTTATAAGTAAATAAGGACTCGGTTACGCTCTATACGGTTTTAAACCTTATCCTTATAATAACCTAGTTCGTATAGACCATTCGACGTCTAGGATACTCCTCTATAGTAAATTCCTTATTACGGTTATAAGGAACGTTTATCTATTTTCTAGAAACGTATCTAAGAAGTAAGCGAGAATATAGGTAATACGCTTTTTAATCAAATATATATATTAAGATCGCGATCCTATAGTATATTCTCTCTTTCTTAGTCTTTTCCTTATTCTTTTCGCTACAAGCTTTTCGTTATAATCGTATACTAACTTATGTATCTATTCCCAACTTTATATTGCTAGGACCTATTATAGCCCTACTTAGCTATATTCTTTTTATTATAGCTTCCTCGCTCCTAATTAAATATACTGCTACGGCTAGTTCTAATAACAACTATAGAAATAAGCTTATTTTCTACTACTTTATAGTATAGCACTCCGGCAAATCCTATTAAATTATGAATCTAGTACTAACTCTCGTTAGATTAGTATAATTAGTAATCGCTAGAGTACTAGCGACTATAACAACGATATAAAGCGCGCCTAATATATAGGCATCGACGCTTTCGCTTTAAATATCGGTACTGATTCTTATACGGATACGTAACTAGGGTTTATATATCAATCTACCGCTAATAATAGTATAAAAGTATTTATCTCTTTTAACTTTAATTAGTAGTAGACTAGTTAGGGTAATATAGTTAGTACGAAGATCGCGTAGTATACTAATCTACCTACCTAGCTTAAGGTTAATAGAAAAGTATTTATATCTTCTTTCGCCGGTAATAGTATCGATATTATAGCGATTAGAGTAGCTGCCGATAGCGATATATATTTTGTACCTAATTTCTATCCTAATCGGGGTGATTTTAGCAATCTTTAGGCCGCTCTTAACTAGATTGCGTAGGGAAATAATAGAAGCAATAGGTCTTTAACTCCTAATAAGTAGCTTATTATTACCGATAGTAATAATACTTATAAGACGGCTCTTAACGGGAAGCCTTATATTGTGTGTAAGTAACTCGAACAATTTTTCTTTCTTATACTAATTTAAAATTAGCGGTCTTATCTTGGTTCTCGATATATTTCGGCGGCGACGTCTCTTATACTAAAAACTAGGTATTTCCCTTTAGACTCCTATAGTATAACTAATAGAGAGAAATTCTAGCTACTAGCCCTCGCTTTATAAAGCTTCTTACCTAGAATAACTACGGTGAATCGCACTATATTAGTCCGCTATTATCGCCGTACGTAGATAATAGGGCCTCTAAATAGGTTATAGGTATATAAGCAGAACTCCCCTAAGAAGTAAAAGGGGCGACGACGAATAACGTATAAATAGGCCCTATAATAGCTAGCTCGATATAGCAAAGCCTTTTATAGCCGCCTATAAAGCTAGCTTAAAACTACTAATCCGTTTCCTCGACGAAGAAAAGCTAGTCTACTAGTACCGAACGACCCTTAAGAATATGAACTATAATATAACCGACACGATAATATAAGGGTACTCTAATAGTTAAAGTAGCAACTTCGTCTATAGACGACCTGATGGCGCGGATAATATAACCGACGAGATATTTATTATAATGATACTAAAGACTCTTACTACCGTATATATATAGTCTAGCCGTAAGGCTAAAACTTATAATACTAAGCCCGGAATATAGTCGTACTTTATACCGATAGGTATAGGTAGACAGAGCTTTAAGGTTATTTATGATAGAAAGACGGTTAATTCTCTATATAGGATTAATCGGAGGGATATTACTAATACGTATCCCTATAGTATCTATAATTTTAATGCTTATATAGGTACTTTACCGGCGGAAGCCTTTATTAACCGGCTACAGCCGGCTAGATTGGCACTATTATCGTAGGGATTATAGATTATATATCCGACTAGTACTCTAGGTACTAGATAAAAGAAGTAATTTAAGTATTACTATTTCTAGAGGATAATAATTATTTAAGTAGTTAGTTATAAGACTTAGTAGCTTAAGCATCTAATAATCTACTTTATAGTACTATTTCCCTCTAATAACTACTTACCTATCTATTACATTTGCTATAGAATTATAGAGTTCGGTAGTAAAATTGTCGAATTAAGAAAACCTACTATAGCGGGACGGTTTATAATTAAGAATTAGGATTAAATCAATAATATTCCTATACTATTCTATATATAGTCTAGTTTCCCTTAGTATTAACTTTAAATAAATATAGATATCGGACTGATTAAGCCGCTAACTATAATAGATTGGTAAGCAATATAGGTTTACCTAGTAGAATGCTAGAATGATCTAGAGTGACTCGATTAGATTTTAAAAAATAAGATATAATTTAAAGGATAGCTAGAGACTATTTATATTTAATAAATATTAGACGTAGGCAAACCTTATATATCTTATAAATAGCTCTTAACTTAGATAATAGGTGTCCCGTCTTTTCCGCTTTATCTTATCTTCAATAAGCTTCTCTATAATATTACTATTACGGGATTTAATAAGGAGAGCTAGAAATATTAGGTTTAAAATACGTTTCGAGTCCTAGGGTAGCCTTTTGACTATTTCTACGTCTCCTTTAACTATTAACACTAGCGCGGTTTCGCCCTAACGGTTGCTTAAATTAAGGTTAATATCTAGATACTAAAGTAAGATATCTATAATATTTAAGCTTTTATTACGGACAGCCACGAAAAGCGTACTCTCTTTATCAATACTATTTAGCTAGTTAATCTTTAATCGACCACCTTATTCTACTAATTATTTTACCGTATTAATATCACCTCTTTCGGTAGCTAAATAGAGCGGGGAATCTCTAAGTATATATCGAGCATTCATTTTAAGCTTTTTGTAAGTAAGAAGCAATCTTATAACCGCAATATTACCCTCCGTTATACCTAGGCGGAGAGGTGATTAAAAGCCCGCGTAGATACTTAGATCGAGAGTCGGCCTTATAAGGAACTATCGTAGAATAATTATATCCGTTCTTCTTACTAGATAGTATAGTGAAGTAGAAGGCTTATTATATCTCCCCCTCCTCCGACTATATTAATATCTACGTTATTTTTAGTTAGAAGTCTCTCTATAATATCGTCGTAATAACTAGAAGTCGAATACTACAGCGGAGTATTTCTATGATTGTCCTTATAGTTTATAGGGGCGTTTTAATATAGCAACAAACCTACTACTACGAGATATCTACCTATCGTAGCTACGTAGAGCGGCGTGCCGTTTCTTTAATCTAGCGTAGCTAGATTAATATATTTGTGGTTGAGTAGTAGCTCGGTAGCCTCTCGTACCTATTACTCGCTATAAGATATAAGGCTATTCTTTTTTAGCTATCTACTATATTAACGTCTCCTCCGCGGCGGAGCAGCTTTTATAATACGCTAGAGTCTACTTTACTTACGGTACTATAAATCGTTTCTAGATTACTACTATAGATCTTACTCTTCGATTCGGGCTGTAAAGTACTAAAATATTCTAGGAGTATATCTAGTATAAGTACCCTACTAAAGGCTACTATCTATAGCGAAATACCGTCCCGATCCTTCGTATAAGGATTAGCGCCTTTTAAGAGCAGCAAATGTACCAATTCTTTATTTTTTTTTTTTTTAAAAGATAGTAAGCTAGAGCCTAGTAATCTAAAAGATCGATTTCGATATTAGGGCGTTAGAGCTTCTTTACGATAGAATATAACCCTTTTTCTACGCTATACTATAGGGTACTTTTTCTAGCCGTATTCCTAGCGTTAATAATTGTTTTTGAATTTTTTAGAAAAATTTCTAACGTCGATTTAGACTTATAACGTACGGCTATTATTAAAGGAGAGAAATTTTCAATCAATACGTTTATATTAGCTCGGTATAAGAGTAAAGTCTTTATAAAGTCGGTATTATTAGATTTCGTAGCCTAGTAAAGCGTAAAGCTATTCTAATATCTAATATTATATTTTATTAGGGGAACCGGAGCTTAGGATAGAGTATTCGGCTAGTTCGAGTAAAAGCAGAAATTTTGTATCCTTATAAACTATCGGCTATTACTTAAAGAATCTCGGTCGGCAATTCTAGGATAGTAGGGTCTAACTTAATAGGCTATATTTTATTATTAGTCTCCGTTAGCCTTAGTAAATAAGTATTACTTCTTAGAAGTAACGACTATTATACTATAATTATATTAATAGTTAGTTCTATTTCGAAAAGGAATAAAGGTAGCCGCTGATTCGATAAGAGATATGCTTTCTACGACTAGTTATAGTACTATAGAGTAATAATAGTTTAGTAGATAGGGTATAGTCGTAGCTTTATAGATTGCCTCGTTATAGATAGTTTATTGCCGAACTCGAATACGGAGCACTATCTTATAGATTCTAAATAGTTATTTACTAGCCCTTCGCTCTTAGGACCTAATTCTAAGTTCCTAGGGGCCTAGAGACTCCTAGAATTATCCGTGGCGTTCCTAGAAATATTTATTCGGTTCCTAGGAGCTTATATTAAGCTCCGGGGGACTCGGTAGTTCCTAGGAGAGACAATGTCGGCTAGGGATTTCTAGCGACGAATAGAGAGAATATAATAGACTTATTAAACTTAAGCTATTCTCTTTAGGTAATATAAGATAGCTCGCTTTATAACGTTAGAACCTATATTATAAAGTAAATCTAGTAAGTACTATAGCTAGTAATCTAGGTATAAAGTCAGCTAAAGTCCCTTTTATTCTTATACCTTAACTATAAGATAGTCATATAGATTCCAACTATATTATATATACTACTGGCTACGGCGTTGCTACTAGCTAGCTTTTTTCTTTTTATATGGTCTCGTCGAGCAGTTTAGAAAACCTTATTACACTAGAAACTCGACCTTACTATATTTACGCCGAAGATTGTTCTACTAGTAGTGTATATAGGACTGAGCTAGAGTAGAAAATATAAGATAGGGAGAGAAGTGATATTAGAGGTAACTAGTTTATTTCCCTCTTTACTTATAGTACGTGCTATCACGTTGTTTCTCGGTTTTATATTAACTACTAAATATTAGTATCTCCGAATAAGTATTTTCCTACGAAGCCTCCCTAGTACGCTATATTAGTTAATAATCTGTTTTCCGCTATTTGCGCTTTTCTCGTGCTTAATAAAGATTACGGCTACGGTAGTTAGTACTTATTTTAATCGCCTACTACGAGTCGTTATACTCTTCCTTCTCTTTTTAGATCACCTAGGCTTAGGTTCTCTCTTATAGTGGCTAGATAGGTATATAATAGCCTATACTAGAACTCGAGTGTAAATACGTTACGCTTTATATTATATAATTAGAGTGGTAGCTATTCTTCTTCTAATTATAGTCTTAGGGGTTATTCTTTCCTATTAGCTACTATCGCTAGAGGTAAATCTTACCCTCTTAGTAGTAAATATTATTATTTGCTACCCTTTCTAACTTTTATAGCTCTAACTACTTATCCTTATAGTCTAGATAATTATATCGTTTTACGCGGTACGAAGTGCTAGAAGTCTAGTCGGCGAGTATTTAGCTTATTTAACCTACGTAGTAGGTAACGAATTCTAGGGATATAAGATTAAGGGCTTTATTAGTAGGCTATTATAGGCTTACTATCGTCGTATACCGAAATTGCAATATTGTGGTGATATAGCTCCGAAACGGCTTTAATATATTTAAGTTTAATAGTAAAGACAAATATCCGGGAAACCTATCTCCTAGCAAAATAGCTAAGTTACCAGCCGATCGATCGATCGTTCTAAACTTTAAGTATACTAAGAAGGTTTCCCCGAACTTCATCTAATATATTTTTAATAGAATATAAGCGAGCTACCTACTTATCTTAGCGAAGCTTTAAGTGGCTTCCTTCGTTATATAGCTAAATATTTCCGGCCTATAGCTTTTCGTTTGCTTCTTTAAGCTGCTTACTATCTATATATTTAGAAACGTAAGACTCCTATAAATACCGATAGTACTATACTAGGCGTATAGCTTAAAATATAAGCTCGGTATCTTCTTCTTTAAGCTGTTTCAATATCTTAAGTACGGGTTGGAAGGGCTCTACGGCTAGATTATTTCTCTTAGTGTCGTGATTCTACGTATAATTGGTCAGCCGGGTCTAAGTTAGGAAATCAAAGTCTCTTTATAGCCCTACTTATCCCGCTGCTAATAATAGAGTATGGCTAGATAAGACCGATTAAGATAGAAATACTAGTAGTATAGAGTTAGCAATCCCTTAACTATATACGGTTATACGTCTACTAACGCTTAGTTCAGTCCTAGTAAATACCGTTCTAAAATAATATTACGGATAGATTTCTTTTTAGGGATAATATTTACACTTTTTAAAAAAAAGGCGTTTGTATTGGATATATACGTTTATATAACTTATATAAAATAGAGTTATACGGGCTAGTAAAATTTATTTAGGAATACCTATAGTACCTAGCTGTTAAAACTTAGAGAACGTTAAGAGTAAACGGTATTTACTAGCGCCCTTAATTATGTATTACCTTCCTCTAATATAGTACCGCCTCTAGCTACTAATATGATTTTATATCCTCCTTAAACTTCAAATTTTAAGCTACGTAAGGCTATATAAAGTCCTATTTAAGCTACTTTGCTGTATTACAGAGTGCGTAGTAATAGCGACTCTAAGAACCCTAGGGGAAGCTAATTTAGCGTAATCACTTATAATAGAGCCTAAGTAATAGCTATAATCTCTATATAGAACCCTTATCTTATAATGGCTTATTTCTTTAGCTTTTTAGTTAGTATAGTAGTAGATATATACTAGGGGCTTAAAAAGCCTTTAGTTTTACCTAGTATTTAGTTTATAGAAATACGAAAGCTATTTAGGTGAAGGCTGTTTATAGCTTAACA